AGATTCCTGGTTTGTACAGAGTGACAGGGCAGTCAGAGGCTATATCCTGTGCAGGGTGGGAAGCTGCCTTTTTTAGCCATTAGCTCTTCTGGGAACTTGGCACTAATGGTCTTGCATGCACAAGATGCAGGCTTCCCTGCTTATACAAATGAGGAAACAGGCTAGTGAAGTCAGATGCTTAGGAGGTGAAGCTGTGAACCCTGGTTCCCAATCCTGTATACCCCGCCCACCACCTCAAAGTATGAGTGTCTATAAATTTAGAAGATGCAGTACGTGCGTGCAGGAGCTTTCAGAGGCCGGAAGACATTGGATCCCCTGGGACTGGAGTTAGAAATGGTTGTGAACCACCATGTAGGTGCTAAGAACCGATCCTGGGTCCTCTGCAAATATTCTTAGTCCTTCACCATCTCTCCATCCTATTCCCATGAGCTCTTAGGCCCCCAACTGCTTGGATAAGCACAGGCTCCTTTGTTGACCTGTTGCCTGGGCCTGTGTGTGGCTTCCCTGTGCTGCAAATCTGTGACATATCTCTCCACTTATGAAATCTTAGGCCACCTGAGCAGCTCTGACCTGTGCTAGGATGAGGGTCAGGGGTTTTGAGCCAGCATCTGTACAGGCTGCCTCAGCCTTTGCCCTTTCTTCTTGGATGTCTTGGCCCTCTCCTTCTGTCCATTTTGGCCAGACCTGAACTGAACTCCTGGAATGCTGTCTTCTTTCTACCAATGGAAATGAGGGGCACCTTTTAGTAGAGTGAAACACTGAGCTCTTGGCAATCATTTATGGAAGAGATAGTGGGGCCCAGGTTTGAGCCCTACATTCACTCAGGCTCCTTCATCTTGTTACTTGGTGAGGGATTCTTGTAGCCTTTGATCCTTTTCTGGAGCCCTACCTCATGCCTCCACTCTCTGTGCCCTTAGTGAAGAGCCTCCAGGGGAGGCAGCCCAGGCTGTGGTTGTGAGTGACACTCTCAAGGAGGCTGGCACCCACTACATCATGGCAGCAGATGGGACCCAGTTGCACCACATAGAGGTGAGTCTTGGAAGTGGCCTCCCCACCCAGTGGCCAGCCTCTGCCTACCCTCAGCACCTCATGCTGTGTTTTTTTCTACAGTTGACTGCAGATGGCGCCATCTCCTTCCCAAGCCCAGATACTCTGGCCCCTGGGACCAAGTGGCCCCTGCTGCAGTGTGGAGGGCCACCCAGAGATGGTCCTGAGGTTCTGTCTCCAATAAAGACCCACCATGTGGGAGGTCCCCAGGGCTCTTCCACCCAACCTCCTGCAGCCAGCCACACCCTAGGCCTGGTAGTACCCCCTTCCCCACCATCTGCAAAAGCTTCATCAGCAAAGAAGTTTTCCTGCAAGGTGTGCTCAGAGGCCTTCCATGGCCGAGCAGAGATGGAAAGTCACAAGCGGGCCCATGCTGGGCCTGCTGCCTTCAAGTGCCCCGACTGCCCCTTCAGTGCTCGCCAATGGCCTGAGGTCCGGGTAGGTACTCCCCCCACCATGACTCTGCCTTTATTCCTGTGGCCACTCAGTGGTATAAGAACTCTTTATTGAACATCTCTCCTCAAGCCTGGTTCTCTGTTCCCTTCTAGAGTCAAAGGTGACTCAGCAAGATCCCAGCTCTGGGAACTGCCTGGTCAGGACCCCAACCAGATATAAAGTAACTAATGCCAGACTGTTCCCAGTGTGAAGGGGTGAGGAGTGTAGAGCAGGAGCAGCAAGGCATTGGATAGAGACACAACAGCTATGGAGACAGGCTGTGGAGCATAGACACAGAGAGGGTGACAGTATGAGTTTGGTGACTGAAGAAAGTAGAGGTTGGTGGGAAGGCACAGGTTCAAGTCCAGTGTGGGATGGTGTGAAGACAGTAGGACAGCCTCTGATCGGTTTCTGGAGCTCCTCCTTGCTGGAGGGTTCTTAGCTTCCAGATCCAATGCAGTGCTTCATCCTCTGATTTCTGTATGGGCCAGGGCCTAAAGCCCCACCCTCGCCATGGGAAAGCAGAGGCCCAGTGAGGCAGAATTGAGCCTAATGCAGGATGTCCCTTAGTTGCAATACAGGACTACAAACTGAGACAGAATTTCCCAGGTGGTGTTAGGGCACAACCTCTGGCTTCTCACTTTCTCCCTGTGGTAGACCACTCCCAATCTCAGGTCCAGGCTTTTGGTCCTTATGGGTTTAGTTTCTGTGAAGACTTGTTGCCTCTCATGCTGACCCATTGGTGCCTGGTCTCTACCCTGTGTAGGCTCACATGGCACAGCACTCCAGCCTGAGGCCCCACCAGTGCAATCAATGTAGCTTCGCCTCCAAGAACAAGAAGGATCTGAGGCGGCACATGCTAACACACACCAATGAGAAGCCCTTCTCATGCCACCTCTGTGGGCAGCGGTGAGGCCTGAGACAGTAGGGGTGCTCTCATGTACACACCTGGTGGAGCCACTTCATGCCAACTCTTCCCTCTCCTCAGTTTCAACCGGAATGGGCACCTCAAATTCCACATCCAGCGGCTACACAGCAGTGATGGGAGAAAGACTGGACCTTCTACAGCCCGAGCCCCAGCCCAGACCATCATCCTCAACAGTGAAGAGGAGACACTGGCCACGCTGCACAGTGAGCTACCCTTGGGCCACAAGGTGGACCATTTGGGTCCAAAGACTAGAACCCCAGCCCAGGGGAACCCCAGTAATGGTGTAGTCAAAGTTTTCCCTGAACCCCCTAATAAGCTCCCTTCTCTCTGCCCAGCTGCCCTCCAGTCCAGTCATCATGGGGCCCTGGGTCCAGATCGGCTACAGCAAGCACTGAGCCAGGAACACATCATTGTGGCCCAGGAACAGACGGTGACCAATCAGGTAAGAACAAGGTCAGGAGCTCCTGCAGAAAGTATGGGACAGACAGAACTGAGACTTAGAGGGACTAGAGAGGTGTCTCAGAGGTTTAGAAGTGCAATCGTGAGGACCAGAGTTTGGATCCCAGCTCCCACTACATAATAAGCCAGGTGTCCAGCATGTCAAGTACCCTCTATCTAAGCCCAGTTCCAAGGAGGATGGAGACAAGAGGACCTGAGGTTTGTGTGGCTTCCAGCCAAGCAGGAACTGCAGGTTCATGGAGACCTTGCCTCAACAGAACAGGCAAAAAGTGATGGGAGAGCAATGCTTGGCACCCTGTTCTGAGCTATTGGCCTCCATTCAGGGTTGGGGCACACACACACACCAACAAGTAAAAGACCTAAGGCTGAATTGGCTTGGCCTTGACAGGAGGAAGCTGCCTACATCCAGGAAATCACCACAGCAGATGGCCAGACAGTACAGCACCTGGTGACCTCAGATAACCAGGTAACCTCCTGTCCCCTTACTAATAAGGTCCTCCTTAGAAGTTTCCAGACCACCTGGGCTACTGTCCATACTACTCTGCCTTTTGTTTTCGAAACAGGGCTTCTCTGTGTAGTCTTGGCTGTCCTGGACTTGTTTTGTAAACCAGGCTAGCCTCAATCTCACTGAGATCTGTCTGTGCCCAGCTCCCACTCTGCCCTCTTAACTCAGATTTCATGAAGTGGAACCCTAGCACCTGTCTCCTCCCCTTTCTTAGGTTCAGTATATCATCTCTCAGGACGGTGTGCCACACCTCTTGCCACAGGAGTACGTTGTAGTCCCTGATGGCCATCATATCCAGGTAGGCCAGGCCTGGGGCAGGGTGGGGCTCGGAGGAAGGCTGCAGCCTTCTAGGATTACTGGCCAGCTTCCTATCTCCAGGTCCAGGAGGGCCAGATCACACACATCCAGTATGAGCAAGGTACCCCATTCCTGCAGGAGTCCCAGGTAGAGTACCTGGGGAGCAGGCAGAGCTGGGATAGCGAGGCTCCTGTGGGGCTATATTCTTACTGGCTTCTTTCTCTAGATTCAGTATGTACCTGTGTCCCCGGGCCAGCAGCTTGTCACCCAGGCTCAGCTTGAGGCTGCAGCACATTCTGCTGTTACAGGTATGGGACTGGACACTGACGGCCAGGAAACTGAGGCCAGGCCTAGCTCCTGGAGCCTCAGGCTTACTGTGCTTTTCCCTCCCCTGGCAGCGGTGGCTGATGCTGCCATGGCCCAAGCCCAGGGCCTGTTTGGCACTGAGGAGGCAGTGCCCGAACACATCCAACAGCTGCAACACCAGGGCATCGAGTACGACGTCATTACCCTCTCGGATGACTGAGCCTCAAAGGCCCAACGCTGATCATGGATATTGGGGCCAGCTCTCCTGGAGACTAGGTCTTTCCTGTCCTCCTTAGGGCCTCCAGATACTGGACAGTCGGTATCACTTGACTCCAAAGGAGCCAGACCTGTGCCCTTAGGGGGCAGCCATGGGCTCCAGCCAGGACATGCTGGGTGCCTTAGCCTGCTGGCAGGCTTTGGGAGAGAAATTTATTTTTGTTTTCATGGACCCACTGGCTCCTCAGTCTCAATAAAGGGACCAGAGTCCAGCCCTTGCAACTCTCTTTGTATATGTGCTAATAACCTGAATCTGGTTAAGGGCCAGAAAACCAGGCAGAAGTCTCAACAAGTAGAGGCTACCTGGCCCTACATGCCCCTTATGAACAGTGGTCCGAGTACAGGACAAACCAGCCTCATCTCGGGAAAGGGCAGAGCTAGAGAGAAAACCCTGTTTCCTCCATGGGCTACCTGTCTCCAGGGCCTCAGAGGGCAGGTACTATTCTGAGGCCTGAGCCTTTGGTGTATATATGATCAGAGGTATTCTGCCTCTGAGGCTATACTTCCTGAGCCAGATGTAAAACACTTAGCAGCCTGAGAGTTTGGTTTAGCCAGGGACTAGAGGTATCCAGGCAGGCCCAGCAGTAATGCCCTGACTCCTCCAACCTGCTGAGCTCAGATAGCAGCTTCTAAAGAGTCAGTCCTGCAAGGATCCCAGAGGGGTGTGAAGGCAGCAGGGATCTTGATAAGGGGCACCTGAATATGGTAGGGAGTGGTCAGAGAGGTAACCGCCCCAAGACCCTCACACACTCTTGGGAAGTTTCTGTATTTCCTTTTACAAATGAAACAAGGCAGCAACAGGGTCAGTGTGGGGCTGGGAAGGCATAGGACTATTTACAAGGGATTTGGTGAATCTGAAGAAGTGGGAGCAGGGAGGGGGAGCCCTGGCAGAGCCATAATATTCCTATGTTCCTGGCAGCTCAAGTCCTGCTGCCACCCCAGGGTGGGGCCCCTGGGGTCTGCTCAGCCCTGAGGACTGAGTCCCAGCAGTCTATAACAGCACCCCTGGGGCTCCTTCTCCCCGCAGGAAATGTTAAGTGGGGTGAGACTCTCGACTAGGGCCCTGTTCCCGGCCGGAGTCCCGGTCCTTGGCCTCTGAGGAGGAGGAGGAGGAAGAGCTGGAGCCATGGCTGCGGCCCGACTGCTTGTAGGCAGCGGTGAGCTCCTGCAGCCGCTCCGGTGTTGGCCCCCACTTGGCGAAGCCGGGGTCATTCTGCAAGAAGAGCACGGCCGTGTTGTGGACGGCCTTGTAGTGCATTTCCTCCCTGTGGGCAAAGGCAGCTGCTCAGAGCGGGGAACAGACCGACCTGTTCACCCAGCCTGCCAGCTGGACCCGGCTTCCTTCCCCTGCTGCCCGGGCACCTACTTCTTGCAGATGTGCTGGGAGCCACTGCGGTACTCGTGCTCAAAGGCAGGCAAGACCAGCTGGTGGCGTTTGAAGCGACTCTGTTCCATTCGGGTGAGCGCTGGTGTCGGGGGCTCCCGCCACTCAGGGATAAACACAATGAAGGACAGGGGCTCTGGTGAGCTCTCTAGCAGTTTCTGCGGGAGGGAAAGTATGGGGTGGACATGAGGTGCTGCCCCCCAGAAGGCTTGCAATCTTGCCTGCCCCATCAGTTGGCAGCACACCCACCTCGAAGTGAGAGACCATAGCATCCATGAGCTCCTCGCAGAACGGAGGGTTGGCCTCAAAGGAACCACTCAGCGGGGTGAAGTCCAGGCAGGGCCTACAGAAAGGTGAGCATTGTAGCCCCACCAGCACCCAGTCCTTCACACAGACATAGATGCTGTCCTCACCCCTAGGCAGACCACAGTTGGCCCTCAGAAAGGCAATTGAGGACGGAGGCTAGGGGCTAGGTGTGTGTGCCTCTGTCCACTAAGCTGAGGATCTAGAGCCCAAAACCACTGCAGCAGAAGCTATACCCAGGGCTTCTGACCCGGGGGGGGGGGGATCCTCTCTCCTTCCTCTTAGCACTTTCTTCCTACTAGACACAGTTTATCTGGTCATCTGTACTCCTCACCCTGCTACTTTTAAGGTATGCCTTATTCTCACCCCTCAGTGCCTAGAGCCAGAGATTCCTATTCCAAACCTAAGCCAATTCATGAAGAAGCTCACAGGTCAGCTGAGGTGGTGTCTATTATATGCCTGACTATGGAGCCAGAAAAAGGAGCTCCAAAACACCTAAACATTAAGAAGCAACTGGCTCGGGTGGGACCTGTGCATTGGAGGACATCTTTATGGGTAGAAGGGCCCAGCAACCCCTGGATCTCACCCGCGGGAGCCAAAGTAGCCATCTGTGTCAGGGAAGGCAGAACAGTACTGGCGGAAGTAGCAGTTGAGGGGTGAGGCGAAGCACTCGAAACTGACGCCAAAGAGTCGGTGGAGGGCCTCAAAGACGTGCACAGGCAGTGACCCCTGCAGGCCAGTCCCCTCATAGAGGCCCACGCCGAACATCATCTGTAGATTAGCCTTAGTCAGCCTGAGGCTGTCTCCCTGCTCCCTTCCAAGGGAGCCCTCCCTGGCCGCCTATCTGTACCTGATACCGACGGAGCAGACACCAGACTCGAGGCAGGAACTTGTCAAAGGCAGAGTCATCCACACAGCTATAGCGGTAGAGGAGCCACTGTAGACAGAGAGGGATCAGCAATGATCTCATGACCTCATCACTGGCCAGATGTGAGGACTCCGGTCTAGAAAGATCCCAAGCCTCCACTCGGCGCCGTCAGCCCAGCTCTTACCAGTTTGCTGAAGTAGTTGCGGCTGACCTTGACCATCTCTCCCTTATACCGGATGCAGACTACACTGTTCTCCATGTGCATCTCCACAGTAGGCATAGGGGGTGCAGACACGGCCAGACGCACTGGGTAGCAGTACACCAGACGGGGCTCCAGCTCTGAGGCCTCCGCCTCCTCTGTGGGCAAGGAGGACAGTGAGGGGTGGTCCCCCTCTGGACGGCCTTCCACACCCACTGTGCCAGTGTTTACATGGATCAGTAAACAAACATTTTCCGTAACAAGGGAAACCAAGTCATTAAGCATGCCATCAGGCAACTGGCATTAGGTGGTGGCCTGTGTCAACATGCTCAGCTCTGACGCAGTCTCCTACAGTGCCTTAGGCCTGCCAGATAAATCAGAAGTATGAAGATGGCAGCTGTCTGCATAGTTAGCTTAGTTGATGCAGGGATCTCTGGGGCCTGGGCAGTTCATGACTATGAACACTCACACTGCCATGGCAGCTCATTACTACCCTTGGGTCTGGAGACAGCCGACGTTGAGGGAGTGGGTATTCCAGGTTTACCTAACCGGCCCATCTTTCACCAGCTTCTGACTCTTCCGTTCTAATCACTTTATTTCCAGGGAAGCACTAACAACCCAGAGACAGAGCACATAGCAGATTCTACCCAGCGCTACTTCAAGAAACAGGTTCCCACAAATCAGTCCAGTTGCCGGCCCTGAGGCACAGCCAGTTGGTGCCAGCTGGCTCCCCATCTCGCTCCTACCTGGGATGTTGTTTTCCTTGAGGATGGCAAGGTGCTTCTCTCGGATCCGTTTAACATACTCCAGGGAGATGTGGTAGATCTTGCTACAGATGCCTTCCACAGAGTCCTTGGCTGCAGCGGAGACATGGGGCCCACACTGCCTCCGAAGGTGCTCCAGGCGGTCCTGGAGGAAAGCCTGGTCAGGACACTGGTGGTGAAAGGGCCTCGGCAGGGCTGGCAGGTGAACTCTTGTGGGACTATTGGAGCCCAGATGTCCTACTTTTGAAAATGGCTCTACTGTTTACTAGCCACGGTGCTTGGATCCCTTGGCTTCTCTGATTCTTGGTCCTATCAAGGGAATTCAAGCTAGCAAATAGGACATTGTGAATAGTCAGTGTCATTTCCCTTGATCCACTAAGCACCTGTCACATAAGCATCCATTGAATGGCTGCAGTTTTTTCGTACAGCATTTGCTATCTATTGGAAGGGAGGACCGCTATGGCACTGGGAACTTGGTGCAGAGTTAAAGGCTGTGCTTTAAGTATTTGTAAAAAGAATTACACCTGAGCATGAGAACCAGTGACTCCGGAGAGTGAGTGTACCTATCTTTGTCACCAAGTGTCTAGTACACTTAAGGATGTGATGTTTGAAACCTCTCTTGTGGAAAAGTCCTGGGCTTGCTGATACAGATGCTTGAGTGACAGGCATGGGCCAGAGAACAGGATGGCTGTGTAGGGACTAAGTGTAGGGGCTGAATCTGAAGGTGGCTGCTGTTTTTTTATATTTATTTTATTTGTGTATATATGAGTGCTTTACTGTTATTTGTTTGTATACCACAAGTGTGCCTGGGGCCTGCAGAAGCCAGAAGAGGCCATCAGATCCCTTGTAATGGCAGTTACAGTTGTAAGCCCCACGTAGGGCTGGAGTCGAACCCCAATCCACTGGAAAAACAGCTGGTACTCTCAACTGTGAGCCATCTCTCCAGCCCTCTAAAGGTAGCCTTTAATTGTAATAGGGACACACACAAGAAAATACAGATCTGTTCTCAAAGATCTACTGAGGTGACATGTTGGACGCTTAACCAGGTTGAAAGGCAGCTGTCTATATATGTCTGAGCGTAAGATTGCAGGAAAAAAATGTTATTGGAATCGTTCTTTGGGAGAAAGCCATGGGCCTTGAACATCTCTGTAGTCGTGATCCTGGGGACTATGGGCAGCAAGGTCTGCCACACTACACAACAGGGTGTTGCGAGGCCAGCCTGACAAGCAGGGGCTATCAGCTGACCTCCCTGAGGCCCTCTCACCATGTAGTCCTCCTTGGAGGCCGAGTGGTCCTTCCGAAGCCAGCTGAAGGTATCTTCCACATTCCACTTGACCACTTTTCTGCTGTCAGGGGATGCACTCCTGCAGGTTGATGGCAAGAGAAAGCTGTTTTGTGTATGGCCCAGCTGTCTGCTCCTCCTCTTCACTACCATCTCAGCACTAGCCTCTAGGCTTACCTCCCATCTCTCTTTGGCAACACTGACAAACATATGAGCATCAGCCAGATGCACTCCCACCCCTCACCCTATTTTGATTGTATGGGGCAGAGAAAGCCAAACCTGGACTCAATCAGCCGCCTGGCTGCTTCTGCATATTTGAAGAGCAGGCGTTTGGCTTCCTCCCGGAACTTGATTCTGGATAACCTGAGTTAGAAAATAGGCAAGAGTGTAGGGCCCTACTACAAGTGATTTGGCACAAGGACCAAGCAGCGGAGCTATGGCATACCTGATGGGAATGTCATTCATAATTTCACGAAACATAGACGGTGACACAACTGGTTCGCAGTTGCTTGGCAACAGGGGATCAGATCCTTTGTCCACCACTTTGCGCTCTAGCATCCAACGGTTGAAGGATTCCCGGGGTGGCTCTATGCCTATGGGACAAGAGGACTGCTAAGGACCTGGAGTAGTCAATGGGGTCCACTGAGACAGGACAGCACAGCCCTTGGTGTTTTTCAGGTGCCTGTTTCCTAGACTTCATTTCCCAAACTATATTCTGAAAATCACGAGTGCTTTATTTTTTAAGACAGGGTCTGCTAATGTAGCCCAGACTGGCCCGGAATTCAAAATCCTGCCTAAGCCTCCTAGAGCTGGGAGTCATAGGCTCCAAGCATGCTTTCTCTTAAGAATGTGGGTCCCCAGCTCACAGGTGTGGAAACTGCAGACGAGCTGGGCAGCACCCTCAGCATCGCCGAGCTAGGACCCCAGCAGGGCTGTTTATTCCCAGGACACACTGAGAACCACCAGGCCCCCTTCCCACGTGAGCCCAAGCCGTAAAGCCAAGGAGAGGCTGCAGGGCCCTCACCCTCCCGCTGTTGGCACAGCTCCCGGTAGTGCTGGCGGAGCTTCAGGATGAGCTGAGAGCGGAGCAGCTCCACCTCAGGGTGTGGGGGCAGGACCTCTGAAGGACCCCTGTGCTTGATGACAGCATTGGTCTGAATGTCCAGGTCCCAGTACACCCTAGGGGCACAGACAGCAGTTGTGAAGATGGCCTGCCCACCACCACCACACCACAGTCCTGGGCAGGCTGTCCATATCAAGGGTCATAATCCAAGCCAATCATCAGGGACTCACTCAGTGGGTCGGAGAAGAGCTGCCTGCTGTTTATCTTCAGTGGAAGCACCCCAAATCTTTAGTGTTGGGGTTCCCGGGATGCTGGGGGAACTGGGCACCGACTGGCTTGTGGGCGTCACAGGTATTTCAATCTGAAGAAAAAGAATCCAGAAGGCTTCAAGTCAGAAGATTCAGCAGGCAGGCCCAGGACCATGCCCAGCAGCTGCACTTGGGAATCCCTCCTGACCCAGCCCTTGCAGAGAGCTGCTAGCACATATCCAAAGTAACCACTCATCAGCCAGGTCCTGGGATGCACACACACTCACCTTGGGCTTCTTGACACCATTGCCACTTGGCTGCTCTTCTGAGAGCTGCCGCTTTCTGGATTTGCTTTCCACTGGGGGAGTCTCTACCAAATTTGAGTCTTGGGGCAGTGGGGTTGCATTCAGCCCCAAAGGGTCCGACTACAGGAGGGAAAATGGCAGAAATGCAAATGGAGCCAGCAGCTTGGGAACCCCAGCACTCAGGCCCTTGCCTTCCCACCCTGCTCTGGCTCCTTAAGGATCCTGGGGTTCGAAACAACAACCCAGGTCTCCACCCCTGCCTGCAGCTGTGGCCAGGGTGGAGCTGTCTGCTTCATAATTCCCTCACCCTCAAGAAAGCCCTACCTCACCACTGACATTGTGACATAAGTCAAGTGCTGTGATGTCTAGCATTGGATCAGTGCCGTAAGAACAAAGTGGAAATCAGGAATCAAGAGAAGTCAGGAAGCAAGGCTCTGCACGGGCCTTTAATGACATCAGGATCCGCTCCAGATGCCCCTCTGCCTACAAGCAGCCGCACGGCCTTGGGCCAGTTACTTCCCTTTGAACCTAAGTGTCTTCACCTGCAGAATACAGAGGCCCCCACCTGGATAGTGAGGGATCCAAGAGCTAGGTTCCTACCTGACTGCCTGTGGTAATACTCTACAACATTCTTCCTCCCACCTCGCCAGCCTCACCTTAAAGCCCGATTCTCAGAGGAACTCTTCCTTCTTCCCCAGACCAGGATTTCAGCACTATTCTTTAAGTCCACAACTGGAATCTTACTGGCTGCCACAGAGTGAGCTTACCACTAAGACAGGGTGCACATCTGTCTTGCTGATGCCCACCTCATTTACACAGCGTTCATGTTCACTATGCTACACTAGTAATCTCACTAGTCAGTCTCTCCTGTCTGACTTCGGGTTCTTTTGAGGACAAGAACATTTTATCTGCTATCTGCAGGTATGAGCACAGGACTAGACCTGTTCAGGATAATGTTTGTGGAAGGCTAGGGGCCTGCTCTGAGACCCGTGGCCCAAGCTGGGACTCACAAGCACATCGTGCTGGCCTAGCACGGGCATCTCCCATAGGGACTGATTGGTGAACCGGTTGAAGTAGTAGGGACGGCTCTCCCTCCGGCTCCAGCACTTCTCCCAGCCTGCATGTACCAGCTCCTCTGCAAACAAGAGTATAACCCAGTCAGGGCTGTGCCCAGCACCCCTGCTACCTTGCCAGCCCACACCACTCCCTCCAGTACCTGGGAGGTCCTGTACCAGGCGAACTGGCTTTGGAGAACAGGGCTGGCTCTGATTGGAGGTGCCTGGAGAATGACTTAGAAGGGATGCTTCCTCCCGGGGGCTGCCGTGATTCTCATTGGCCATCTCAGCACCCACGCGGGACCTGTCACACAGGACCAAGAGTGTCAAACTCCATCCCACCCTCCAATTACATCTAGGGCTCTGGTTACTTACCTACATATTGGAGAAATCCACCAGTCTTGCCCTGAATAGCCAGTCAACTGGTGCCACAGGAGCACTCAGATTAAAGCTGCTGTCCCTTCAACTGTAAGATAGGGTGCCCACTGGCTATATCCTTCCTCCTTAGTTGCCTGGCTTGCCCATGGGCTCACATCCTCCAGGAAGCCTTCCTTTACTGCCCTCCTGCCCAGATTTCATGGGCTAAGTTCTTCCGCTTCCACAAAAAATACACTGTAGTGCTTAGACCTACAGTGGGACTGTCTCAGACTCTGGACTGCATCGCTCTCCAGAGCTAGGAATGCCAACTGGGCCCAAGAGGAGCTCTACTAATCCTGCAGACATTTACCAAGTGGCTGACAAGAGCAGGGTCTGCCTTTGAGAGGATCAGCGCCTTCTCTTCTTGGAAAGATCTATCACTCCCGCTAGGTAAAGTCTCAATGGACCAGCGCAGCAGAGAAAAAGCATGGACTCTTAACTGGTTGCAGTTTGTTGCTAAAGAAACCAGTGTATCGCTGTGAGTTTGAGGCTAGTCTGGTCTACAGGACAGCCAAGGTTATACAGAGAAACCCTGTCTCAAAAAAAAAAAAAAAAAAACAAAAACAACAAAACAAAAATAAAAATAAAAGAGTAAAACTGAGGAGCAATGTCTGCTTCAGTCCTTCAGGAGTCCCAGATAAACACTGACTCTATTTTAAATGCCAGCAAGCAATCCAGCTTCTTCAGATTTGTATTTCCCACTACTCCTTCCCAGAGTGTACCCAGCACAGGCCTCAAAGGCCAGGTGCTTCCCAGTCTGGATCTATTACACCCATAGGGGGCCACTGAGATCAGACTGATGATGTGTATGTTGTTTGCAGTATGTTACAAACCCCACAAGAAACCCTCACCCACAGTAAGACCACAAAGGCTGAGTCAAAGATTTTCTTTGCTGATCAGGAGCCCTGACTGGTTGTTGACGACATAATAGGAATCATTGAACATTTATTTTATTGTACACTCAGAGATGTCTGATAATTTGGAAAGGGAAAAGTCAATAGTTACTTTATCTGTACAGTTTGGTAGATAAAAATCGCAGGGCAGCAGGACACATGTAGCATGAGGGCCTTGATTACAGAAAGGTTTGGAATGACTTCTTGAGGGACTGAGCCCATGGGTTTCAAGGCTGAATAAGGTCCCCTTTTCTCACCCTCCGGGGTCTGCAACACTAGCATGAGAGGGCTTTCTTCTCTGGCTGGACTGAACCCACGTCACGGGGTCCTACAGAAGAGGGGAAAGGCCCACAGGAAGGCGCCGCACAGGTGGGTGGTCTGGTCAGCAGTGTAGTTGACAGGGACCCAGGAGACTCCGTGCATCAGCAGCTGGAGAGCAAACAGAAGAAGAGAGTCACTGGCTTGTGAAACTTTGCCAGGCAGGGACAACATCAGAATGACAAGGACACACTGGGAAGGTCTACAGGCTCAAGGAATCAAAGTTCAAGACCCTGTCTAAATAAGCATTCGGAAACAGGCCCTTTTTTTTTTTTTTTTTTTTTTTTTTTGTTTTGTTTAGATGTGTTTGGTTTGGTTTTGGTGTTTTGAGACAAGGTTTCTCTATGTGACCCTGGCTGTCCTAGAACTCTGTAAATCAGGCTGGCCTCAAACTCAAAAGATCCACCTGCCTTTGCCTCCAGAGTGCTGGGATTAAAGATGTGTGCCACCATTCCCTGGCTTTATTTTTTTTTAAATAAATAAATAAACGTACAAAACATCTCAAGCTTCCAACCAACAGAATTTGCCTTCCTAGACCTTGAACTTGGGTTATCAATGGAGTTCTAATTTGGTTTAACCCTTTCCTATTACGCTGAAGTCGGTTTGCTTTGCTCTGCAATGTTAGGGATGAAGCCCAGAAGCCTCAACGTGACAGGCGAGCGCTTTCACTGTGCTACATCGCCAGCCCTTGCCTGAGAGCACTATGTTAGCTCAACAAATATATATATATGAGGTATCTGGGATACAGTGTAAGCCCTTGCTCATGCCAAGCGGTCTACCACTGAGTCAGACCTCTATAGCTTTTGAGATAGGGTCTCAAAAAATGGACAAGCATGTCCTTGAACTTGACCTGTAGTTCAAGGCCTTGAATATACGATCTTCCTGCTTTGACTTCTGGGATTAGCTGAGATTATAGCCTGTTTCACAGGGACTTTAGGAAGAAGAAAAAGCTTTACTGGGGATCAAAGCCAAATCTGAGGGTGATGAGTAAGCACTTTAATAAGCAATCCCACCTGTGGTCCCGGAACTGGCATTTCTTTCCTTTCCTTTCTTTTTTTTTTTTTTTTTTTTTTTTTTTGTTCTTCGGTTGAGATGGGGACTCAAACAGTCCAGGTTTGACCTCAAAGTCACTTTGTAGCTGAAAATGGCCTTGAACTCCCAATCTGTCTTCTTTGACCTCCCCCAGTGTTAGGATTACAGGTGGAAGCACCACAATCAGCTTTTCTTTTCTTTTAATTGGACCTGCCTGTGTGGCCCAGATTAGTCTTCAGCCACTGGGATCAAGAGACTCAGCTTTCCCATTCGGATACAGACGCATGACAACGGGAATCAAGTTTTCATTTCCCATACTAGAGGCCACATACAATGCACGGCCAGCTGTGCCAACTAAAGTGCAGACCAAAGAAAAGGCAACAAAGCACACAGATGCTTTGAGACAGTGCTGGGGCACTATCTCAGGCCACCCACAACTAGTAAAAGACACGGTAATTTGAATAATGTCTTGAAAAAAAGAAAAACATGCAAACACATAGAACACATCTCATTCACCTTTATTGAAAAGTGTGTATCCCAGAAAATGTGAAGGATGCACCTGGTAGATGCATTTGTTAGAGAAGGCAGAAGCAACCCGGCCTAATGCCACCCAAATTGGACACCAAATAGGACACTGAATCGGACACTGCAGCAATCCAAACCAGCTGTCACCAGATTCGTGTGGGGCAGATTGCTGTACTCATTACACCGATTAGGAGTCAGAAAAGGGAAGGGGCGCTCCAAAAACACTGCCATTTTAGGGCAGAGTCTCACATAGCTGGGACTGGCCATAAACTTATAATCATCTTGCTAGTATATCCAAGTGGTTTCTGCCTTAGTCATCCTATCCTGCCTTCATCTGCAAGTGCTAGAATTTCAGGTCTGTGCATCACCCTCGACAAGATTTTGTGATTGTTAAACGCACCCCAGGTGGGCCTGGGAGACAAGATGACCTTTTTTTTTTTTTTTTTTTCTTCACTTTACACAACTTGAAAATGTTATCAACTTAAGAGTTTACAGGCTAGTGGTGAAAGCTACGTAGTGCACTGAGTGCCCGGCCTATGTAAGACCTGGGGTTTTAGCCCCAGCACCACATACACACATAAACAAATAATAATTTAAATATTAAACGAGCCAGGTGTGGTGGTGAACGCCTTTAATCCCAGCACTGTAGGGGCAGACGGATTTCTGTAGAGTTCGAGGCCAGCCTGGTCTACATAGTGAGCGACCTTATCCTTTTAAAAACAAACAAAACGAAATAAATTCGCTTAGATGGTGCAGCAGGTCTCTGCCAAAACACCTGCTCTGAGGCTGGCCAAACCCAAGTTCCATCCCGACTCCTGAGGCTGACCCGCTTGACCCCTGCACCGTCGTCTGGAGTACGGTAACGTAGCTCTCGCTGCTCCCGTTACGTTAATGTTTTCACTTAGCCTGTGCCTTCTGGACCCCCGACGCATACCAAAGTCGGAGAAGCGCAGCGTAGTCTAGGGACAAACCACTGTATCTGCGCAACCAGCGGAACCCACAGGGGGAAAAAGCATCCGATTCCGGGATTGGAAGACCAAGGGGCGGGAGCATTTCCCAGTGGGCCAATCGTCATGCTCCAGCTCTGGCGGGCGGAGCCACAGGGACTGCCCAGCGCGCAGGCGCGCACCCTGCACCCACCCCGGCGCGCTCCCGCGCACCCTCCCCCCAGCCCAGCGGGGGCGGGATGTTCGGCGTGCGCGCGCGCCGGCCCATCTCCCGGGCTCCGCCCCCCGCCCTGCCGCGCGCTCCCGCCCCCGGGCTGAGGCGACTCAGAGTCGGAGCCCGACACAAAGGCGGTGGCGACGGCGGCAGCAGCAGAGGGACCCTGGAGGCCGCGCCGCCCGTGCTCTCCGGGCCCACTGCACTCACCCAAGCCAGCAGCCCTGCTGCCCACCCGCGGCCCTAAGATGGCGGCGACGAAGGAGAGCGGGCGAGCGGCAGCCCCGAGCGGGAAGCGCCGGAGGGGCCTCCGCCGTCCCGCTTGGGACTCCCGGACCCTGGCTCGGCTCGCGGCGGGACCATGGCTTCCAGGGGCACTTACCTGCCCGAAGCGGACTCGAGGGGATGCGGCCACACGTTCTGCTCGACCGCCCGTTTTGCCGCCTCCGCCTCGCCCTCCCCAGCGCCGCTGCCGCCATCTTGTGTCCCGAGCCGGGACTCCGCGCTGCGCATGCGTTGGTACCGCCTCTGAGGGGCCTCGCCGCGGCCGCGCCGCCATCTTGAGTGTGGCAATGTTGGCTGGCTCCCCAGACCTTGATTGCTTTCGGCCCCCTCCCCATTTTCCCGTCCTTCCCTGCTGTTGTCCCTTGTGGTCCTGAGGATGGGAGGGGGCAGCTTTGTTGTTCTTGGCGTGTAAGCGGCAAGGAATGAGTCCATACGCACTCCCCTGCCTCAGTTTCCCTGCCGAACACACTCGAGGATCCACTTGGACACTTAGGGGCCACGAAGCCGGTTTGGAATCTTCTGGGGACTGTGGCTCAGTTGCCGATGCAGAGGCGGAGTAGTGACGTAGGCCCTGCAGGTTGTAGGCACCTGGGTCTTAGCCTCCTAGGCCTCTGCTGCTTCCTGGAGGTCCCGTCCCCTCAGGGCCTCTGTCCCCTAGGGATCTTGGAATGTTTTCTCTGTATCCAGGGGCCTGATGACGTGCAGATCGAACCTTTCCCTGTTAGCAACCTGCTCACAAATTGCTCTTGAACAATTCTAGGTTGATCGGTAGAATGCTGGTGCGGTAGAGCTGGCATTGGGCAGTTGGAAAGTTACACGGATTAGCGGGAGACGCAACTGCCGGGGCCCTGGCCGGCCTCCCCTGCCGGAATTAGGCTACTAGCTCCACCTACTTGTGGCCTCTTAAGGAAGCCATCGCCCGGTAGCTTGAAAGGAGGACAGGTTTGCCACCTGCTGCAGGACTGGCGCAGCAGATGCCCGCTGCCTGTAGCTTCCAGGTGGGGTGTTGGGAGGTAAAGAAAAAGGCTGTTGATACATAGCAAGTTCAAAGCTGACTGGGCTACATGAGACCTTATCTAAAGAAAAGTAACAGCAGCTGTGCCTTCGGCTCACACCTGTAATCCCAGCACTCGGGAAACTGAGACAGAAGGATCACTGGGTTGAGATCAGCGGGGCTAGAAGAGTGAGAAGTTTAACAAGGAATGGTTAGGGGTGTAGCTCAGTGTTTAAAGCCCGTAGCCAGGTGGTGACGGTGGTGGGCACCTCATCTCCCAGGACTCTGGTCCTGTCTCAGACAGAAAGCAGATGGGAGTCAGATGTGTTCACACCTGAAACCCCAACAGCACTCTAGCCCTGGAAAAGCTGAAGCAGGAGGTTCTAAGTCATAGGCCAGCCTGGGCAGCATAGTGTAATGAAACACTCGCAAAAACAGCGGAGCACACAAGAGCTGGGCACGGTGGGCCTTGTCGATGGGTCCAGGTACTGGGAAGCTGAAGGAGGAGCCTGGATAACCTGGGGAAATGCCGTCTGACGAAGATAAAACGAGCCTGTCTGCAGAAGGTCACCTCACAGATCACATAAGTGAACGGTGCACGGCGCCCCTTGGGCCAACTCACCAACTCGCCAAGTAGAAGCCCCTGCAGGTGATCTGCTTCCACAACAGTCACTCCTGGCTTTCACAGCTGTGCCACCGGACACAGCCATTTTGAAGCCAGCTTGAGCTATACAGTGAGACCCTGCGTCTGACTGTACCCCTGCCCCCATTTTGTTGTTGTGGGGGAAGTTGTCACTAACTTCCCCCGTTTTCATTATTCACCCTTCAGGGCCAAGCCCACGTGTGGCTACCGGGTAGCCTCCCTGGAATCTGACACGTTCCTCACCTCCAGTTCACCCTCTGGCTTCTGTATTCTCATAATGTCCTTCGCTCACAGTGTTTGTCCACTGCCTTCGCCTGTGCCGTACAGGAAGGAGGACTACCTTCCTAGCCAGACCATGTTCAAGAGCTTTGTTCCACCAACTTGAGAAAAATCACAGTGGGGCTGTTAACAGCTTACCTTCAGTCACAGAGTTGGTGGGGAGGGTCGACGGACCCCCACCTAAGTACCCTGCTAGCCATGCAATTTTGTCCTAATTGCATGTAGTCTTGGGGCTAGAGGATTTCAGTGGAGAAAGTTCCACATAAGCAGTCATGGGGAGCCATCATTTCCTGTTGTCTGTAACTTACCTATCCTGTAAGTATGACTAATAAATGCCTACCCACCCCCATCCTGGGGGCTGGGAGAAATAATGAAATTCTACCTTGGGGTGTTGTTGGGACATCAGGATTAGGGGGAACCATTGTGTACATCTTCCATGGAGGAGGAGTTTAGCAACATCCCTTACACTGCTTAAGGATGGTGGGAGGGCTCACTCCTGTCTGCCTTATGCCCAGCGTGTGACTGACTGATGGCCATAGGCAGACCACACACAGTGTGAAAGCTGAGTTTTGGCATCTCAGTTTCTATTCTAGACCCCAGTTTCAGCAAAGGAAACATGGAAGTGGTGTCTTTGGGGAAACTATGCAAAGCATGAGCTGCGTGCTAAGGCTCTCGGTGGTTTAATGTTCTGTCCCTGTACACCCTCACATCCTGACATAAGATGCTCGGGATCAAACCTAGGGCCCCCAGACTCCTGGGAGAAATGCCCTAGAGTGTGTTCCAAAATACTCAGTTTGGGGCCAGAAGAGATGACTGCAATTCCCACCCCCCAAGACAGGGTTTCTCTGTGTAGCCTTGGTTGTCCTGGACTCACTTTGTACACCAGGCTGTCCTTGAACTTGGCAATCTGCCTGCCTCTGCCTCCCTGAGTGCTGGGATTACAGTCGTGCACCACTCACCTGGCCGGAGATGGTCAGATAGAGATCCATTTCTAAAGGATCTGAGTTTAGTTGCCAGCACTGACATCTGCTGGCTCACCAACACCGGCGCCTCCAGTTCTATGACTCTGATGCCCTCCTCTGGCTTCTGCAGTCCCAAACACGCAAAATTAAATCTTAAAAAGTAAATTTTGTTTTTCAAAAACCAGGCAAAGATCATGCCCGTGAAACCAGCACATAGGAAGTAGAGGCAGGAGGATCAGGAATTGAAAGCCAATCTATGCCCCATAGCAATTTCAAGATCATCCTGGGCTATATGAAACTCTGTCTCAAAAAAGAAAAGACCAGGGGCTAGAAAGGTGGCTCAACAGTTAAGAGCACTGACTGCTCTTCCAAAAGACCCGGGTTCAATTCCCAGCACCCACATGGCAGTTGACAACTGTTTATAACTCCAAGGTCGACACTCTCAGACATGCATGCAGGCTAAACACTACTGCACATAAAATAATTAAAACGAGATGGATCAACTAAAACCAGCTTTAAACACCTTATGAGCCTGGTGTGGTATATGCCTTTAGTCCCAGCGTTAGGCACACATGGTGTATATATATTCAGGCAAAGACCCTCAAAAATTTTGAGGCGGTACACAGCTTTAATCCTAGCACTTGGAGTCAAAGGCAAGCAGATCTCTTAAGTTCCAGGCTGCCTGAGGCTACACAGTGAGACACTGTAAAAAAAAAAAAAAAAAAAAAGTGACACCTGTAATTTCAGCAGGTGAAGAGAAGGGGAGATTAAATCCCCTGCAACTAGAGTTACAGGTGGTTGTATGTGCTGGGATTTGAACCTAGGCCCTCTGGAAGAGCAGCAAGTGACTAACTGCTGAGCCAGCCCATTTCAGAGAGGTTTTCTTTTTGGTTTTGTGAGACAGGCTCTCTCCACAAGCCCCTGGCTATCCTGGAACACACACACAAGGCTGGTAAAAGTGCTTGTTGCACAAGCCTGAGGACCTGAGTTTATTTCCTGGAACCCATGGAAAAGGTGGAAGGAGAGATGTCTGTGCTTGTACCCGCACACACATTCACACAGGAGAATAAAAATACAATAAACAGCTTGTATGAAAACAGCCATGCTCGCTCAGGTCCCCGTGCATTCCAGCCTGGTTCTCAGTCAGCTGGAGCAAGAGCCCCGCAGGGGAAGGAGATCTCACTCCACACCCCAGGTCCTGGCAATGGTGGGAGGGAGGCTCCATCAGGGTCCTGCTCTGGGCTGGCTGCAGCTGCTCAGGACCTTGCTCTGTGGTTTCAGTTACACTAAGGTAGTTTTCAAAGCAAGCAGAGGGCAGGCATCTGCCCTGGAGTGAAGTTACTGAAGGGAGTGGCTCTCTGACCATTCTGGGATCACATAAGAGAAGCCCTTTTAGCCAAGAATAGACTGGGAAAAGTAGTAGTCTCCTTGGGTCTTCCTGGCCCCTGTATGATGTGGTGGGAGGGTCCCTTCATTTCTTCACTTGGCTAGGCAGGATATGTGTTGAGGCTTGTTCCAGAACCTTGGGAAAAAGCAATAAATAAGACAGGCTTTGTGTTCAGGGAGTCCCCACGGAGCTGTGGGGGAAACAGGCACATAAACAATTCCTCTGTGCAGGGGGAGATAAGGCTGCAAGGGGATACCAGGCCAGTGAGTGTGCCAAGGAGCCTTCAAAGGAGATAACAATAGAGAAGTT